ATTTTTAATGTAGTAATTATTGTTTTTATTAATTTGTAATAGAGAGCTTCCCTTATGATACTTTTGTGGTATAAGGGTGGCGAATTTATTTGATTAATAAAGATCCATTTTATTCCATTTAAAAAAATAAAAAAATCGGAACATAGTTATTAAATATTTTGAGCATTACACATTTTATTTTATAATTTCTATCTAGCAATTCTAGTTATAATCAACCTAGTACATTTTGATAAATAAGATGTGGAAATATAAAATAAAATTTAAATACCGGCGCCGGGAATGATAGCCAGTTTAGTCTCCGAGAGGCCGAGCTTTACATTATCGCTAACAACCCGTATATCGGCCGCCAATGCAAACTCCAGTCCCCCTCCTATTGCCGCCCCATCCATGGCTACAATGGTGGGCACCGGGATGTCGGCGATGCCATCGGCTATAGACTTAAGTTTAGCAACAAAAGCCTCGATCTCCGGGTCCGCCATAAACGCCCGCTCTTTGAGGTCAGCGCCGGCACAGAAAACCCCGGACACCGTCGACCTCATGATGAGCACCCGTAGGCTATTGTCGGCGTATATATCGCTCAGACACTGACTGAGTTGGGCTACCAGTGCTTGACAGAGGGCGTTGACACCTTTCCCGTGGTTTAACGATAGCACCTGTAGGGTGTTGAGGGGAAGGGATGTGAAAATTAGGTTTATTTGTATGGGGTTTAGGACTTACTGTGACTCCGATGTGAGGGCCCGACAGTCTAGTGGTGTATACAAGGGGACAGGTATACACTTGTTTGTCAATCATTGTAGGCTTAATAAAGTTTATATTAATTAATATTTGTATAAACTTTTAAATTAATATATCTATGCACATATGGTATTTTTAATAGTATGTAAGTTTAATTTAAATGTTAAAACTCACCATGATTATCATTTTAGATAAATTTTTGTAATCATGCTTACCATTGTATTGCGTGATGTAATTAAATGGAAAATACAATTTTTGAAAATATAATTAAATATTGTGATTAATTGTATCAGTAAATAGTTTAAACAATTATTAAACATTGACTTATAAAAAGACATGTGTTTAGAAATTTAATTACATTAAAACTATTTTTGAAAATATATTTATTTATAATATTATTTTTAATAACATTATTAAATATCTTTAATAGATTTTGTGTTTTATTTATATAAAATTACTATGGGTGAAATCGTTTTTTAAATTTTAATTTTCAAGTTAATAATGAGTTATTAGTTATAAATAAAATAATAATATTTTTAATTAAATTGAACTTTATTAATTAAATTACAGCCCCCTATACCAATTAATAATAATAATGCAAATTTTTGTGTAATAATATTAAAATTACAAAATTGTTGCAAATTCATTCAATGAATTTATAAAAAATAATATTATGCAGTAATAATGTTTTAAAATAATGCTTTTCAAAGTGTCAGTACATTTATTATAAATCATGTGTACAGTGAGGCCATACACAAATGAAAAGACTTTAAATGTAATTTGTGAACAAATTATTAAATATTCACACATGAAAACAGCTTGAAACTGTAGCTCATTTATCAAACATTTTGTTTTATATATTATTTGACAACAAAAACTCAATAAATAAATTATTTTCATTAATTTTTCTAAATCACCTCTTACCAAGTATTGTAATACTGAATTACTATATAAACAAAACACAGTATATTTCCTATAAAAATAATTTATATTTATTATTAATTTAATAATAATTTTATGCAAATGAATTTTATTTACAATGAGTTATATAGTCAGATAAAAATTCAATTATTGTACTAGCTGTCTTTTATTTATTTTGTTTTATTAATATTATTGGAATATTTAATTTTTAAGGTAAAATTATTGAAATATTAAGGTAAACAAATAATTGTTAACTATGTAATTTTATACAGAATATAAAAATTGAACATAATTTTAATTAATTTTATTCTATAAGTACCGATACATATAAAAATACAGTAAATTTATATCCTATATTAAAAAATCTGAATGAATTAATAATTGAATTACTAAAATGTTTTTGTCATAAAATGTAATTTGAACGCAAAAACCTACATTATACATTCATAAAACTATATTTATATATTTTCAATAACAACTTCATTACTCGGAAATAATTATTTGATGTATTCCTAAAAATATTTTGCATATTCTACATATTGTATGTCTTAAGGCATATTCATTATTTATTGTACTTATTTATATATCCTGATATTTTTTAGACTCTTATGTTTAAAAGGAAACATAAGTCTAATTTGAAAGCTTTTTCTATTTATTTCTGCAAAATTTATTAATGAGAATATTTATTTATAACTAAAAATCTTTTTGACATGCTAATTAAATTTTCCCTATTATTGAACCTTAACATTTTACGACTTATATAAATGCTTGTTCAAAATAAATATATTTTATTTGCTTCCCATATGATTTTATAAATATCATAAAACTTTATAATAACTAATATTTAAGCAGTTTCTAGTATATTTTCAAATATTATTAACAAATTATATAAAAATGTTTAACAAACTACTCATTCTCTACGGTATTGACTGTGAATATAAATATCTAAATATATTTGTGTCCGGTATAATTATCACGATATTCAGCGGACTAAATATATCTGTTTTGTCAAAATTACAATTTAATAATACGTGTGAACTGTTACGGAATATTCCGTGTTTAATATGCTTTATATGTTGTCTCATAACCTATATATTCATAAAAATCAAGTCCAGAATAATTATGAATATTCATCAAGAATTGGATGAGTTTTACATCAAATATCGCATTTTTAAAAGTAACTGGCTAGTTTATTATTATATTCTAAACCATCTATTTATTTATCTGGCTAATATTTATATTGTGTATGTATCAGAGTATAATATATTCAAATGTGCTAATGATGATAGCGATATACCAATTTTCACCTACCATGCTGCAATATCAGTGTTTTATGTGTGCGGTTGGAAACACTTTTCGCTATTATATTACTACGAAATATACTCAAAATATCTTAATATATTAAAAGTTTTTGAAAATAAAATATTAGAATTACCTGGGTCACCAACATATAAATTTCTGTGGCATATCCGAGATACTCTACACGATTTTAAACAAAATGACCTAGTAATTCATAAATGTCTTAATCGTATAAAACACTTAATCGTGATTATTGCTGTAGTTACACATTGTATGGAACTGTGTTATAGTTATCTAGCTTATATTTATGGTGATTACAAATTATCCTTGCTGTTTATGATCATGTTTATCTCATCATCCACATATTTCATAATAATTGTAATAAATATAAAAATTAATGAGAATGTTATTTATAGAGTTAAGTTTGCCTTGACAATGTGGAAAAATAATATTGAAAATAATTACTTTAAAACTAAAATCTGAATGTGTTTAAACATAACTATTTATATTGAAAACATTATTTATTAAATACTACAACAACAACATTTTTAGTTATTATTTATTTATGCCTACACATTACAATTAGTTTCAAAAATAACGTGTGTATAATATTACATAAAATTTGTTGAAAATGGATTTTTATTTATATGTCATTATTAAAAGTTGCATCATATAGATATTTTAATTAAAATATTTTTTGAATGAACCATTGAGATTATCATATGAATGAAAATATAACGAATGAATCCACAGAAATTAAGCTTATCTTATAATGCTTTTAATATTTTGTTGCTTACGACTAAATATTAAAATCTTTTTAACTTAA